GGACTTCTTTTTGTTTCGTCGCCTGAAAAGGCCGATGAAAGGCAAGCATTTTGAGACGACAGAGGGGATCCAAGCAGCTTGCACCGCGGCTCTCAAGGCTATTCCGGAGAATGCCTTCCGTGACGCCTTCAATGCTTGGAAATCGCGCTAGCAGCGCTGCATCGACACAGAAGGAACCTATTTTGAAAGTTTTTAAAGAATTGTAACGATTGGCTCAATAAATTTTTTTAAATCGACTCAGTCCTATTACTTTCCAGACAAACCCTGTACATGTAAAATCTTTACAATGCCGAGTAATTCTACTAATACATCCATACAGTATTTTATTAATATATTTTGTAATTTTAAGTTAATTCTGTAAAAATTTAATAAAACACCTAAGACATAATTTCATTACTGACTGTACTGAAATATTAACGAAGATATCGAGGAGTAGTACCTTCAGAAATTTTAATGATTATAAAATGTTGGAAACAACATTCCAAGTACCTTCTCGCTACGCACATAAGTTTATTCGTGAAAAAAAAATCGTTATTATATTTATATTACGATTTGCATATTCTACTATAGTATGAATTATACATCCATTATGTCACCACACAAGAAGCTATTTTCTCCATCTAACTGTTCAAAATTATTTCTATTGTTTAATGAAATTAATATAGTCAAATACCTATCAATTTATACTATTTTAAAAAAGTTAAAATGATTTTTACAAAACTTTTCTTTATTATTTCGATAATTTTAATTTTAAAAGGTTGAAGTAGTTATTTATAAAGGTAATTGAATAAATCTTTAACACTAAAATTACCAAGGCGGTTAAATGGCCGCCTCACAAGTGTCTTATTTTAAATTATAAAATGTATTAATTCTTGTTGAAAGAAAAATTTGAAGTTTATATTATTTTATTAGTAACTTATTAGTCTTCTTTTTATTTCCGGTTTCAAAATAAATGCGTCGGTAAGTTTAGTGTTAAAACTACTAAGCGGATAAGCGTTAATTTCTACCGCGTCGCATTCTGACGAATATCCATGACGTACTGTAACAGTATAAACAAATGAAAATCGCTATACATTAGCATTATAATGACATCAGGTGTATAAAATACGTAACACATTAAATAACATTGTATACAAAATATATGGACAATTGTTAACTGTATATAATCATTATTCATTGTAAAAATCTGTGATCGAGGTCAGTGTAGTTCATGGACCAATTCATCAATATGTTTCAAATTTCAAATAATTATTTATCCACGTATGTTAGTGCAAGCCACTCCAATACAATAATTTACAAGATATAATACTATTTCACCGTATTCAAAATATAAAAGTTATACTGAAATTTATCTACGCAAGTCTATGTTACCATATTGAAGCACTTAACTCACGCTATATATTTTTTTACGCTTAGTAAAATATATGTAGTATACAGGGTGTCCCGCAATTAGTGTAGGACCCGAAAAGGGGTGGTAGGTGGGGCGATTCTGAACAACTTTTTCCTTTGCCAAAATATTGGTTGAGGCTCCGTTTTCGAGTTATTAGCAAAAAACACTGACCAATGAGAGCGCGCATAGACCGGGTGCGCGAAAGCGTGAGCAAAAGCTTCGAATATGACGGCCGATCGTCGTCGTGAACAAATGTATCGATACTGTCGGTATAACGTCGCTACCACCCCTTTTCGGGTCCTACACTAATTGCGGGACACCCTGTATACTACATATATTTTACTAAGCGTAAAAAAATATATAGCGTGAGTTAAGTGCTTCAATATGGTAACATAGACTTGCGTAGATAAATTTCAGTATAACTTTTATATTTTGAATACGGTGAAATAGTATTATATCTTGTAAATTATTGTATTGGAGTGGCTTGCACTAACATACGTGGATAAATAATTATTTGAAATTTGAAACATATTGATGAATTGGTCCATGAACTACACTGACCTCGATCACAGATTTTTACAATGAATAATGATTATATACAGTTAACAATTGTCCATATATTTTGTATACAATGTTATTTAATGTGTTACGTATTTTATACACCTGATGTCATTATAATGCTAATGTATAGCGATTTTCATTTGTTTATACTGTTACAGTACGTCATGGATATTCGTCAGAATGCGACGCGGTAGAAATTAACGCTTATCCGCTTAGTAGTTTTAACACTAAACTTACCGACGCATTTATTTTGAAACCGGAAATAAAAAGAAGACTAATAAGTTACTAATAAAATAATATAAACTTCAAATTTTTCTTTCAACAAGAATTAATACATTTTATAATTTAAAATAAGACACTTGTGAGGCGGCCATTTAACCGCCTTGGTAATTTTAGTGTTAAAGATGAAGTGCGGTAAGTGCAGACTGATTTTTGTGAAGTTGGTATTTAAACGTAAGTAATTTCAGTCCGCTATGTGAATACTTAACGCTGTCGATATCGAACGTTTTGTACAATTACTACTATTTAATTAATATTAACGAGGACCTTAATTTTCCTTGTACATTTTGATTTTGATAGGAAATTGTTTAAAATGTCAACTACTGTACACTTTCCCCGAAAATGAGGTAAGAGCGTGACTTGAAGTTAAATACTTTGAAACTTTATTTCATGTGCAATGGGGCAAGAGCAGAATTATTAACAAATCTGCTATAAAATGATTTTACTGCATTATGCAAGTATTCTATACTGCAAACAAGTGCTCTTAACTGAAATATAAAACGGGATATAGTGAAACAAAACAAGGAAACAAACATACTAAATGGAGAAATTTCGGTCATGTTGTAACAAAAATAGCCTCTATACGCACTTGCCCCATTTACGAACTTACCCCACTTCACCTTACTAGTTATTCGAGACCTAATGCACGTAAAAAAGCTGGAAATCAATACCTATTTTACCTATTTGGTATTAATATACCAAAATGTATATTATTCAACGCTAGTCAATTGCTGATATAAAGGACGAACTCGCATTATTCCGTAAAAAATAACCGTATCCATTTTTTTCTATAACTAAAGACTACGAAATAATCTCGTTTTAACCGAAGTCATTCTTTTTACAATTGTTGCCCTGATTCATTTAACGAAATATAAGTACTGCTCTTTTCCTATCTAACATATTCTCACAACTGAATAGGAATGCTACTATTTTTAAACTAGAAACGAAATTCAGTTATAAATTATTACTTTTTTTTTTCGTTTTACTAATTATTATAATTCATTATTAATTCTTAATAATTCGTTCGAGTAAAGATTTCGCTTATATTCCAATTAATAATTGTGTGAATGCATCTCAGAAAATTATCGAAATTACATTGGTTACAATATGATCGACTGGTAGTCTGGCTAGGTATTACAAAATACAATATTACAAAAACTCATGGATGAGGTCTATAACGATTTTGACTTTTCTTTCTTCTTGCATTTGTAGTTAGTTTTTGTTCATTTCGCACCGCGGAACATAGATTGCTGTGAAAGTTATGGAACGTAGCCATATGATCTTCTTAAATAATATCGTAACATCAACAATGCATTCAGTTATGCATTCAATGCATTTCAGTTATCGAAACAGGTCTTCTTATCTCTTCTTGATCTTCCAAAAGTTTATCGTCCCTGAAAAAATGCTCTAGGCCGTTTTTTATCACTTTCGCTACAAACGAAAATCACAGACAGAGCTATATAGAATCAGCTAAGATTTTTACATCTCATCTCTTTCATATTTCATTTTCCAAACAACACAACAATCATTCTTCATTTGTAGATTGCGATTTACACGCTTCCACTGGATAATCCGCATCTTCACACAGTCCATTCTTGCTGTATGATTTGATTGACACGTGCAATTAAGTTTCAGTGGCAGTAATGACTTCATGTTCTGAGACGATGCTGATTTACCATTAGACTTTTTTCGGCAACGAAATCTTGACACTTAATGATTTCTTGTCTTCGATTAGGAGTATCTAATAGATACAAATCATCTTAACTATGTGCAACGTCTATCTTCATTACGTGTTATTCCATCGTAACGATATTTTCTAACGTTTGCTTCCAGAAACTAACTTGAACGCACATTGTCCTTGACAATAAACTCTCCTTTCGGAAATTGTATATGCCACCAGAAAATAGTCGCCCGACATGGGGAATTATCTCTCAAAACTGGAGACAGCTTTTCAAAAATTGGTCTATGCCCAAGCTTTTTGAAAAATCATAGCATGTTCCTCTTCCATAAGGAGACACTTCAAATTTTCCGTATTGTTTACATGAAATATATTGAAGAGCTGGAACGTGTAGTGTTCCTTCTCCACATAATGTTTGCGTTCTTCTTGACGACTCAAAAATGAAACATTCTTAGCAATCTATGTATAATTCGAGATCATGCTGCTCGGTTAACGTGTATCCCCGAATTTTATCACACGAGATACTGCAATAATCCTGGATTTTATATCCACCGAAAGAAACCCCATTTCTTCGATTATGCAAATACAGTAATAGTTACTGTCGAGAGCCATGCTAGCCAGACCATAAAGCAAGTCACCGAAGAGATACGTCATTGTAGAGCTCGTAATCTTTTAACCCTGCGCACTCGAAGGCGACTCACATTTACTATTCGGTTTAATACAATATGAAATAAATATTTACAATTACATATGTATCAACATAGTGCATCAAACAATAGTAGTAACTAATAATAAAGAAATAACAATCTGAATTCAAAAAATTTTAAAGTTATCTGCAAAAATACCTTGGAGTGCTAAGGTTTAATGTATTACGTTACAAATGTGTAAATACGTCTTCACACGCTTTCATTCTATCTTTCTGCTATCGTAAGTCAAAATCAAGATGTGCTTACGTGCTTTAACGACAAGTTACAGTAAATCGCGATATAATAGTATTAATTCAAAAATAAAGCTGTCATTAATTTAAATTTAATGTAACAACTTTAACACATTGCAGTCGTGATATTTACAAAAATTTGACGTAAACTTAATGCGAAAATAATATTTTCAGTTCTTTATCGCGTTTCTTTATTCTTTGAATAATTACGTTTCTGTTTTTATCTGAACTTGTACTAGTTACATCTAAGAAATATGATAAGCATATCCAAAGTGTAAGATACTTATGAAAACTTTCATATATCATTTTCATGGTGTAAAAGATAACGTTTACTTTATGCTTGAGATACCTCTGCTGATAATCGTCCGAGGGATAACAGTGAGTGTTGTATAACTTTTGAACAATTGATGTAGTGATTCTTGTAAATGTTCTTTCCCAGAAATGGTTGTCACACGATATGTTTCTTCCTTTGAATTATAGTACGTTTTATAATTCGTAATCTTGTACAGCGTCTTCTGCATGGATCTTAATAATGTATTGTTACCTGAGACATCAGGTTGAATGAACATTGATACTGCTCGTAGATGTGACGTTTATGCTATCTTCTTACAAGCCATTAGTATATTGGAAATTTCTTTAAAAACTTGATAAACATCTATCCTATAATATACAGCTTCTGCAGCAACTCTTCTCAGTCAGTAGTATATCATGAAGTTCCCGAGTTTTTCGCCTTCTTCATATGTTCCATTTTCCAAAAATCTCTGATTATCGTTTTATTCTTCTATATATTTCCAAGGTTTCGGTAATGTATAATCTTCTACGAAGTGCAATTTTTCGTTTACACTGCAGTCTTTCTTCGGTTACATAATATCCACTCATTTTTATATAGCGTATAATAAATTCAAGTATACATGATATGTGTGGTTTGATATAATTACTAAGCAGTAGGTGATAAGAAAAAAATGTTAGGCAACTTTTGTCTTTATTTTTTACATAGAATATGTAAGGCACTGTTTTCAAGAAGAAAGTGTTTACTTTGAACTTTTCTGAGATACACAGAAGTAGTGAACACGGACTTAGTAATTATATCAAATGACTCCTTTTATGGAACACTTAGTGCTTTAATATATTGTTGTTACAATTTTTAAGCTGCTGTGTAAACATAGTTATATATTAATTACAAAGATGATATGCGTGATATGCCAGATATACATATGTATAATAGTAGAATATGTCAAACAGATGTACTTAGGCCCTTGACTTCGACTACGTATTTCAAGGTTATGCCTTTTCAAAGGTATGTCAAGTATGTCTCTTTGTCAATACTTAAACGCCAAAAATATATTTTTGCATATATTTTTTAAATTAAGATCTAGCAGTTGTTCTACATATATGCGTAGCAAGAAGTCACGCGGAATGTTAGTAATGACAACATATTTTAAGCTCAGTAAAATCGATGAAATGTGCCATGAAGTATTGGCAGTCATAGTAATCCGGTATTAAGCTATTTTCACATTCCTCGTATCAACATAATGTAGCAAATTTATTTCATACATTGATGAAAGGAATCCAACTGTGTAAAAATTATGCCTTTTCATAATAAAAAATGCAGTTATTGAATGCATATGCATCACTTCTACAAGGTTTCATTATCCAAATCACTATATCAGCCCCCCTTTGAAAGGGGAGACAGGAACATTTTTTGTTGCTGCGAAATATTTAAGGACTTGCATTTTCATAAATTCAAAAATATTGGTAAGCAGTAATCGACAAATTTGTTGTATTTTCTAGTGTTAAATAATGTGTGTTCATTATCCAACAGCACTAGTTAAAAAAATAAAAGTTCTATAATTGTTCAGGATATTCAAAATTTCCTTTGTCCCTATCATAACGTCTCGAACATTCTAGATACCTAAATTGTATATAAACAGGTCAACATCAGTCAGTTTAGTCAGTATAAATCGAAGCGTAAGAAAGAGACCGAGCAAGTAAATATTGTGTGTGATTAGAATTTCTGTTAAGTCCGTTAAATTTGTTATATGTGTATTTCAATAAACGTTTATATATTTTTCAGATAAGACTCTATGTTTATTACTCTACAATCCCATCAATAATATCCAAATGAACTTTCACTAAACTTGTACATTGTACACAGTTAATATTAGGAAATAGTATAATAATACTAGGAATATTAGTATAATAATATTAGGAAATAGTATAAAAATTAACTATTATACGTTCTTATTTTCTGAAGTTAAGAAAATTCCACAAGCTTCATAACATTGTAATATTTCTTTCTTTTATATAAAAAGTAAACTACGCTTTCTTAAATATTTAAGAAAAAGTGAATAATTGTAATAACATGTATGAAATGGGAATGTAACAAAATTCTTACTAGACACCTATGAACTTGTTAATGTTACGTTCCGAACAGGAATATTTTTCAAAATTTCCTTTGTAATTTCTCACTGACCGGATGTGTATAGATGATGCATATTGCATTCTGAGAACACCTTGATCGTACGCAGTAACAGTCTTTAATATTTATTAGATAGATTATCTTCTGGCGACTAAACTACGATTGTTAATATAACACATTCCTTCCTTGAAATCAACGTGGTCCCATGGCCAAATTCTTAGGTCATTTTACTTCTCCGAACCACCAAGCCTAATTGGAAGTCGCGCTCGTGTGGTCCGATAACACCAAGCATTCTGGAATGTTCTTCGCGGACCCGCGATGCAATATAGAAGTACAATAGAAATTGTCCTCATAACATTACAATATTATATGAATTGTCCATAAAATAACAATAGAGACTTGCGTTATACCGGTATTGCAAATACTCATACGCCAATCAGTCCTACAATAGTTACGGTACCGAGCGCAATTAATTTTAATAATTGTAAAAACGAAATAGATATTGTTTGATTCCAAATTTTCATAATATATGCAGATTAACATGTTATACTTCGCCGGTTATGTATGTAAAAATTATTCAATAGTTAATTAACAGTCCATAACTCAAGAGTAGAGGAAAGAACTATATAAAGAGAGAAAGATAAGAACTGGTCAAGGGAGGAACGCACATGCACCCACTACCAACTAATTAACAAATCACGGTCCCTTACGCATTGGCCTCGCAGCTTAATTCGTTAAGCGCATCTCAATGCAACGTAAACAATTCCGGACTAGACCCACTGTGGTCTTCTCCGAGAGGTCCAAGTTGCGACACTCTTCGGTGTATAATTGCGAGGTGCGTGTTGAGAGTCCGTGAAGCGGTTTAGAGACGAGTTTGGTTTAGAATTTGTGAAAGTGCCAAATTCGGGCAAAGACTCTATCTTCACGTTAAACTTTGGCGTTAAATTTTCGTTAAATAATCACGTTAAATAATCACGATAAATTTTCAATTCAACTTATTATTTTATTTTATTTTTCCACTCAATTATATTTCATTTTTAATTTTAAAGTATAATTTCATTTTTATAGTTTATTTGAATTTCGCAATAGGTCAGGTTTCAAAATTCTCATTGGTGGAGTGCTTAAATGTGTGTGTGTTTCTTCCTCCAGGAACCAGGCATAGTTGATATTTCACATTTTATAAGGGAGTTGATTATTTCTAAATTTATTCAAGTACAGACATTTGGGCGAGTTGTTTCGTTTACTTTTCCAGTTATTTTATGAATATTTCCGGCAAGTATATCCAGTAGTTAATATTTAACTTTGGGATCTCCCTTACTGGATTATCTTCTTATTTTGTATTTGAAAGATTGCTTATCCTTCAAACCTTCTACTTGCGTATCTCCGGTTTTAACAATATTTTTGTTCTGTTCAGAATTTAACCTTTGTAACTCATATTATATTGCACCTACTACCATTCGAATCATTTCATATTTTATAAAATATAACCTTTTATATATTTTAATTATTTATGAATTACATTTCTTTTATTGTCTTCTTCATATCCCATAAACCTTGCGATCTTATGAAAGGGCCCGTATGGAACTAGCGTATCTCCGGATCCACAAAACATCAAGTCCCGTTGACAATTGATTTTGTTAGGGCATACATCTCGCGGTTTTATACGCGCGACTCCCGCACGTAACATTAGCGACATGTCGTGTGAAAAGGTAGCATGCGTGTCAGGGTTATTGTACTCCCAAACTTTGACCCGGTTTTCAGGATGTCGAGTAATCTTTAGATTTTGATGTTCTGAAACTTTTCCTGCTTTCTCAAATTTACCTAAAGCATCCCCATAACTTTTCTAAACTCTCACAACTTTCTAACCCTTGTCGCGTAACTGTCAGTATCAAAATTCAGGACTAGCCTATCAAGGTCAGACCATTGACAACCTACTCGAAAGTCCGAAAAAACATATTACCGCAAATATACGATTTCCTTTTATGACTCGTACATGACTCTGCTCTTGTGTTCCTGCCTGGAAAATCTACCGTTTCTGGAACACCTCCACCACTGGACTATCAACCCAGAAAATTTTCAGTATAAAAGAAGCCTCTTCATTGATCATGACTCCAACTTGGTGCGGAAGACGTTCTATCAAACTTGATGAAAAATAAACACTTTACCGGAAACCCAGCTGTTCCTAAACGACATAGAACCGTGGCATTTCCGAGCCTTATTACAATCCTACGAAACGTCAACTGCACCATGCATGCACTAATCCCTTCCATACAGGATCAAATCTACCGCCACACCATCGACCGGATCAAAGTACGATCCGTTACTGTTTTCGATTTTGAAATCAGAACCGTGTTAATCTTGTAAGGAGTCGAATTGTTCACAGTATTCTTCTTCCGAGATTTCAACTGTTGTGGACCAAATTGTTATGTATTGGTGTTAACTACGAAATATAGTTAATTTATCGTCGTCTAGTACCGTCGTGAGTGTGATTGTTAACTGTTTATTAAAATATATTGTTACCGCTACAGTGTATAATTTTTCTCTGGACAAAACTACCGTGACTCTACAACCAGCCTGTTCCGTATCCTTGCTAGGATAGTACTAGCGAATAACCCGTGACCGGCTGACTCGAGAAAATTCGGCCAATCGCGATACTATTGCTACTCGCAGCATTTACTGCCGGGGTGGAATTAGACACACAAATGTGGTGGAATATTCAAACAAAATACGGGCTTATATTATGAGAAGTTACCATCATTGAAGATTTTCTACACCAAATGGAATTTGGTAACCTCAGTAGAAATCAAAAGCTACCTACATCACCGACCATTGTGACAGCCAAATACAGAACTGTCCAAGCGACCAGTACGGACCACAGCTATGACGCAAATTAGAAGGAATGAATCAGTACAGCGACTTTCTGAAGGCATCAATAGGAAACATCCCGACGGAACAATATCTCGGAACAATATCACTCGAAGGCGACTCACTTTTATAGGTACTGATTGCAGCCTAGGAACGACTAAAATGTCTAAGCGATTCCTTAAACATACCAATGCAGTTATGAATGCGGTAAAAGCACCAACGAGTGATGAAGCGATGCCAATCTTGGCTCGCGACATTGGCGAACAACAGCCAACCGCTAGACCACCACGGAGCTCTCCGGCTCGAAGAACCTTTCAAAGGAAACGAGTAGATGAGATGCGTCGAGATCGAGGCGTTATTATATACGCTGAGTTATTAAAAGCGTTGCGCGAGAAACTCCTTCCTGGAGTAAAGAATGAACAGACCGCCGCTGAGCGACTTGAGTCCATACACACCCTATAACATTATGTACTACAAATAGAAGCGTAGGGTTTGGATCTGTCTCAGTTTTCCTTTCTATGATTGATTTGAGAAATATTCCTGTAAGAGGCAACGTCATCCAATTCTATAGGATTTCACTTGCCTTATTTGAATCTAAAGTTCAACAACGCCAGCATGCAGACGCTATAGGATTAGCCCTGCGCGTGGGCGAGGGGCATTACATCGAACGAATGCCGCGCTTCTGCCGGTTTCTCATGATGTGGACCTACGGGTCTGGTGCTTTCTAGCTGTTAGGTGGGAGCCCTTGCCTCCAAGGGTGGCCCAGCCAGGCGGAGCGGTTCGGCGCCTAGTACCCTCCGAGGAGGGCTAGTTCGCTCCGGTCTGGTCCCCATTATCGGGGTTTCATGGTAGGCAGTGTGAGATATCCCCTGTGGAATGGGGTCAGTGGTATGTCGTCGTCTGCGATTGGCCGGTTCTACGGTCGACTGTAGGATGTAAGGCTGAATGCCCGGTTCGTAAGTCGTAGACATGTCACTGAGTACACAGGTGCCGCTGGCATAACGTGTAACGACTCTGGAACCTAGGTTCAGATTTTAACAGCGCTAGTGAGGTAAAGATTCACTCATTGGGGCTTGTATCGAGTGGCAAGACTGGATCAAACCACGTACAATGTTCAAAAATATTTTTCTAACCTGGGTCATGAACCCCCCTGAAGAAATAAGCCCTCTCTACAAGGCCATCATAGATCAAGTCAAAATGGTCCTTATCAATTTTGGCC